CCAAATCCAAGCAGCTTATTTTCTACTTTTTTGTTTTTATAATTTGCTCCAACGATTCTCAAAAGAACTCTTTAACTGTGATGTAACCATGCAAAACGCAAAGATTTCCTTACTTGAAACACAAGCACACACAAGCGCAATTAAACATTAGATCATCGTCCTGGAATTAAACAACACACACACACACACACACAGAATGTTTTCAATACATATATAAACATAAAAATTATGAAGTAAATTTAAAAAGTAAAGTAAAAAGTGCTGTATAGATCAAATTCCTTGGCAAAAATGTACCCTAGGCAACAACATTTTCCAGTTCACTTATCAAACAAAGAACCAGTTGTTATTCTGGCCAATTCAATAATTTGTTTAAATCCAAACCATTATTACATTGATTCTTGGATTCATTCGAGAGCATTTATAGTACATAGTTTAGGATTTAGGCTGACGAAATGTAAAATATTATTCATAAAAACATACAATCTAAAATAAACACTAAACTGAGTTTGTTTTACACTTAAAAGTGTTTTGACAGCAATTTCCGATCATGTGACCTGCTAAGACATTTAAGCAAAAAATGGATGTAATGATTGAGTAATGACTAGCAGGATAAAGATAATTATTCATGATGGAGATCTCTACAGCTAGGGCTGGATCAGGGTCCCACGAGCCTCCTGGCCCTCTGCATGCCAAATTACCCCTTACAGTAATCTTTCCTTGTCCTTAAACTGCCTGTTTTATTTAGTTATGCCCTGAATTGTGAGTCAAACACTCAATGTGACAAGGCTGTTGTACCCAATGGTGCAGAGCAAATTGTTGTACATACATCAACCACAAAAGTGAAGCCAAAACCAGTGCAGCAGAGATAAGTTTTGGATCAGATGCACTCTGTGGCATCTAATGTGGTTCACTTGAGTAGGGCTGTCACTGCACTTTTCAACTGCATAATATAATAGTTCACACATATGCACCCTTCCTACTAGCAGTCTGAGGTCACACAAACTACTGGAAGTGAGAGAGTGACATAGGTAACAGCCTCAATAAATTGCAGTGAGGTATGGCTTGAAAAGAGTTGGTAGAGCTCCTGAACAGGGCAAGAAAACAAGCCAGGCATAAATGAGACGTAAAACAAAACGGCAAACGAGAGCTTGCTGAAAAATGTTACTCAATTAACTTAAGAATGCATCGATCCCTGTTTTTCTACAATCAATCTTCATCTTGAAAATTCTCGCAGCAAGGAGCAAAAGCATTTATTTACTTCACAGAGAGAAAGACAGAGAGCGGTGGGAGTGGTTAGATCCTGTGTGATTTTTCTCTGTGGTTTAACCTCTTCTTGGTTGTCTTGGCAACTGTCAAGTCCAGGTTCCAGACTTCTAACGACCATCCCTAAGCAAACAAAGAGCGATATACGTCCTTCTATTGCACTGGGCTCAGGTTTTTCTGGGGTATATTTATTATTGGGCCCAAAGTGAAATTTCTGGGCCTGCTGGCAGCTGGTGAAAGCACTGGACAGGGAGTTTTAAATCATATTGATACTGAAGGGAGTTGTACTATCCCAGAAACTCAAACTCAAATGTGAGAAAGTATTACACATATCTCATTTGAAGGAGAGAATCTGGAGTGTAGAGACGGGGAGAAGTTTCTGGCTTCTGAAGTTTCACTCAAAGGTCTGGTTAAACTTTTGTCCGACGACAAATAAGAAAGAGTGCATTATCAAATAACGTGGTTAAACACACAGACTTGCATGCAAACTTACACACACATATTCATTTGTATTGGATTATCATATTGTTTGTTTTCACATACTTCCTCAGCAAATGATAAGATACTGAATAAGAATAGTGGTTGGCTGAATACTAAGCTTTTGGCAAATTAACTCGTATGTTAGCATTTATCCACATGAGAAAACAATGACAAAAGAATGCTGAACGGTTGGACATCAAGTTGGCTCCAGTTAGAGTAAATGTACTGATTTTTTACAGATTTTACAGGTTTTTATGTGCATTCATTTTCCTTGATTAACAAAACAAAACAAAACACACTTATTCTCACTTGGCTCTTGTAATTTTCATCTTAGACATTCTCAAGGTCTTTGACTAGAGGTAAAAACAACACACCCAGCAAAGGAATTCGCAATAGCGAACATGAAACAAAAATACACATTAAGCTCACTTCAAGTCATGTTTGGAACAGGTTTGGCCTTTCTCAAACATGTCAAATATTGGACAGAGAGAAGACAAAAGTGAATCATTAGAGAATTCTCGCAGCTACAGGAAATAAGATGGCAAAGGAAGCATCCAGGTTTTAGCATGGTGCCTTAATGTATTCCATTCAGGGAGGAGAGAGGCCATCTACTTACCCTATGGGCCTTATTCCCACACATTCCTTGAACTGCTTCTGTAGCACCATATGTTTTAGCTTTTGAATCTAGTAATGAGATTTCATAGATTACATTTACAATATATGGCTTTTGATTTTTACATTTAAAATTAAATGCAAAGGAGGTACTGTTGCAATAGACTATAATAACCCATTCACACCAAGAAAGATGAGTATAATGATAACTGTACTGGTGTCCACACCAATGGATGACAATGCTCTGTTTATTAGCCTATAAGCACAGTTATGTAGTCTGCCACTTTAAATGCTTGAGCGGATTCTGACAGGCTCTCAATGTTTTTAGCATTCATCATCTGGGGAAAAAAGTGATTTCAAGTATATTGTACCGCTGTGATTATTAAAACTTTATAGTTGTCATTATCATCCAGTGTTAATCAGGCAACATATTTTCCTAATTATGAAAGGTACATTAGTCTCTTAGCACAATTGCTAGCAATACAGCCTCATTTTTATCCAAACATTTGATTAAAATTATAACTAAAATTATGTGAGAATAAGCCTTTATAATCTTAAATAATTAAACATTAAAAATTAACATTAGAAATAATTTTTTTTTTTTCAGATTCCAGTTTGGTCGTACTGTCACCATTAAGTTTGACTAATTTTAGAAATATTAGCACAGTATCAGGACTTTCCCCATCAACGTTTTATCCAATTCAGAATGAATATTATTAGGCAGATTTAAAGGCTGTTGATTTGTTTTTGGCGACAATTCGGTGTACTGGAAGTGTACAGGAACTTCTCTCTGAATTATGACAGAAGCAGTGTGAGACAAAGCAGATCATTCACAGGTGAAGCTGAACGAGGAAAAAGAGTTGGCAGCAAGTACGAGAGACTGAAAGAAGTTGGCCTGACAGCTATGCTCGAACCTGGCTGGGGCAGATTCCTTGTGTGCCATCATTCTATCTGCAACGGAGGTTTGGAAAGGGAGCTGATTTATTGATTCAATCATTCCAGAGCTGATAATGTAAAAACATGTCAATTAACAACAATGGAGTGAAACACGTCTCCACAGGTCAGAGGGACTATCTCTCTCTTTCTTTCTTTCTCTCGCCATCTCCCTGCCCTGAAAAGTGTACTCAGGAGAAATGAGGCTATCAGTAGCACTCCACACTATCTCATTTAAGGATAAATTGATCAATTCAGAGCTGAGGGCAGACACATTAATCAATGAGAGTGCTACTTACAAGTCCTTATCGGTGACTTAGACAAACCCTGATCTTTTACAGACAATATGTTTAATGTTAACTCTATTAAAAATGCAACAGCTCACTGTAAATATTTAGCACAGTGAATTAGGGTTGAGTGAATGTTAACGGTGACGCTCAAAGACCCTGGAGCTGAATGGATCCTTCTGGAAACGCCTTCCTGTATTTATGTAATAATGTGGAAGTTATTGTTTAACCTATACGCATATTTCTTTTTACTAGTTTTATTCCAATTAGTTCTGGTTTCCAGTTTTACTCATACTCTTTCACAGAAAGCGCCTCCACAGATATGGATGTGCATACTGGACTCAAACGACTTTTCAGCGCCACCTGTCGGTGTCGAACGAATTATACGTGTAAAGTGGGGTTGCTACACAAACAGAGTAACTCAAGAATTATTCTAGACACGAACGCGACAGACTGTGAAAGATCAACTGAAAATAAAATATACACGCATATAAGTTGCAAAACTGCTTGAAATGAGAAGGCAACGCACAAGACATAAGTAAGACAATGTTTTAATTCATAATTTTTGGCATATATATATTTATATTTATATATAATGTTCATTTTAAAACTGAAACATATTAAACATTCGTATAACATCTGCAATATGCCGTTTGCAAAAAAAAAAAAAAAAAAAAAAAAGGTTTCCTTTTTCCTTGCTGTATATTTCTGTCCAAAGGTTCAGTCAGTGATGACGATGAAGACAGGGAAAACTCAAAAGGCACTTAAAGCGGTCTCTGCTCGAGTGTTGTACAAAAAAAAAAAAAAAAAAAAAAATTAACAACAAAAAAAAAAAAAAAAAAAAAAAAAAAAGTTCACATGAAATGCACACGCTTACAGAGCAAGACAGGACTTCACTGCAAAACCAGTGAGAAAGCACACGGTGATCGTCCACCGGAATTATTCTCATGACAGCAACAGACATTGCATAGAGATATGCACCCTTTCACATTTTTATCAATCATACTGCATAAATACAAAGCGTTTACTCTAAAAGCGTATACTGACAGGCGTTTTACAGATCAGTACCCAAATCATGGCAAAATGTTCACAATGCAATGCGCTTCATCAGGTTGAGCGTGGACGACATAGTGCATACAGTCTGCGATATGAATGACAATTAGCCTACCACCGTAAAAACCAATTCCAGTCCTATGCTTTGGCATTTGTCTATTGCCGTCCATGAAACAACTCCACCCCACCCTCTGCAGAAAGTTTAAATCAACAATATCATACAGTGGATGTTATGCAGCAACAGGTGTGTTGGGAATACAGCCTGCTATGGCAGGAAAGTTTTTTTTGTCGCTACAAAGTGTAGTTCGG